GGATAATAAATATGAGGAAGGTGGTGGCCTGCCCCTCGGGGTCCCCTCCCTTCCCTGCTCCCAGGGCGCCAGACACGCTCGCTGGCCCGAAGGGGCGGACTCAGACGGCCTCGCTCGGGGCCGGTCGGCCGCGCATTAATCCGGGTGGATTTGGCCATCTCGTGACACAGCCAATCAGTTCGGGGGCGGGGGACGGCAGGAACGCCTCCCCTTTCACGCCACAAAAGGATTTTCGTCCCTTGAGAGCACAATGAAGAAAAAAAAAAGCCAATCAAGGCAGGATCAGCTGTGGGCTGGTCGCTGCAGAGCTGTCTCTCCCAGAGGGGGGTGGGGGGGACGTAGTGGTCCGTGTGGGAAACCCACAGCCTCGGCTTCTCACACATTGTTCTCCTTCTCTTCAACGGCACCCCCTCCCCAGCAGCCCGGGCCCTCCCCTCCCCTCCCCAAAGCCGTTAATGCCACAAAAGATACTTTCCCCATTGTGCCCGGGACAGCTGAGAGATCCCGGGTGAGCCCTGCGCTGCCCAGCATCCTCTCCAGGGAGAAGGGGCTGGGACCGTCCAAAAGGAGACCGGGGTGCTTATCATACAAAGGAATTCAAGCCTCTCGGGCCTCTCCTGCTAATCTAGGACGGTGGGGGGTTAAATACGGTTACATTTTCATTAGGTGCTAACAGCAAAAGGGCAGCTCGGCAGGCAGCAGGGACTACACATTGTTATTCAGAAAGTTCCTCCGGCGGTGGAAGGTCAGCGCAGGTGGGGAGGGGACGGGAGGGGGCGGCCAGCCTGAGAGCTGGGTCCCGGACAGACTGGGAGGGGTGGAGCCTGTGACGGTGCGCTGCGGGCCCTGGCGCTCCATCACCGGGAAAAGGCGTGTTTGCTCCCAGGAAAACGAGCCGGAATTGCGGGAGACGGGAAGGGCCAGTGCGTGGCTGGGGACAGACCAAGGCCCCTTTCTGGGGGCGGGGTCCCCACCACCAGTTCGACCCCCGGGCTTTGCCAGGGAAGGTGGAAGATTCTGGTGCGTGTCTGGGAGGTGGTGTGGAGCAGGGGAGGGTTTGGGGGTCGGGGAGAAATGGAGGTGAACCCCGGTTCAGTGGCTCTCTCTCGAACCCCCGCGTGACTCAGCCTCGGTTTCTTATTCGTGCCAAATGGAGATAAACCCACCTCCTCAGACCCTAAAGAGCCCTCAGTGAGCTTCAAGTGCCAGGTACAAATGAGGGGCTCAGAAAGAGGAAAGCCTTTCTCCTCTCCCCCCGCAGCCCCACTCCCAACGACGGACCCCCAAAGAGAAATTTGTAAAGGCCAAATGAAAGACTGCAGGCTTTGATATAGTAAGTGAGTGTCCCTTCACCCCTTGTACTGTGTTCCTGCTTTCTGCACGCACATGTATGTGCATTCAGTCGTGTCCGACTCTTTTGTGACCGCATGGACTGTAGCCCACCAGGCTCCTCTGTCCATGGGATTTCCCAGGCAAGAATACTGGAGTGGGTGGCCATGACCTCCTCCAGGGGATCTTCCCCACCCAGGGGTCAAACCTGCATCTCCTGCATTGACAGGTGGATTCTCTACCACTGAGCCACCAAGGAAGCCCTGTCTTCTCTGCAGTTTCCTTCAAACCTCCCTCCGGACCTCAGCTTGGTCACGATGTCCTCTTCCTTAGACTTCATTCCGTTCAGACGTTGCAGTCTCCCAAACCCTGAAAACCTGTGCATGAATAAATCAACAGATAAGATGTGAGCTCTTTTCTGCTTTGCACTGCTCCGTGCAGATTTACGAACACTGTGATGATGATGATGTCACTGTGGGACGATGCTGTAAGGGATGGACCACAGGGATGCAGGAGGCTCTACAGGGGAGACAAGGAAACGAACCTTTGTAACCTTTGCAACCTTTGCACCTGTAGGTCTATCGCTCCTTCATTCAAGTCGTGTGTTCCCATCGTTCCTCAGCGTACCCGGGATTCCCAGAAACTCAGGGTTGTGTTGAAAGTCAAGGTGGATAAAGAACGGCCACAACAAAGATACGAATGATCCTCTCCATGTAGCAAATGACAAGACCAAGTGTGAGCTTAGCCATGGCCAAATCCATATTGATATTGACATTTTGGACCCAGAGGAGTCAGGGCGGCCTCGTGTCACTAGCGGTGACGTCACCGCCGGCCACTCCCACTTTCTCTCGGATACAGACCTCTGCATACAGTGGTCCTCGATCCTCATAGAATTGCTGGTGCTTCTGATGAGATTTCAGGCTCCCCAAGACTGGTTTTCGACCAGAAAGAAGTGCCAAGTCAGGCTAATTGTGGCCAAGAGTTCCATGGCTTATGTATCCTGTCTCTCCATGGGAATCTCTCTGTACTGGCTCCTGAAAAAGAATGCATTTGGGAGGTATGGGGATGGGGGGAGGGAAGGCAGCTGTTTCTTAAACTGGCTAAGAGTGTCTTGGTTGGTGCTAGTTTGTTTTATGGTGACTGAGTTTCTCCAGTCATTTCTACTTCATAGAAAGTAGTTTGAGAGTCACAGAGCATCGTAGAAATAATGCAGTTATCTGCAATACCTCTGGGGTGAGAGAAAGGATTATTTTCCAATTCAGGTAGCATTCAGGAAACCTCTTCACTGCAAATTCATAACCAAGGGTCTGACACATAAAATCTTTAATAAGCTTCATCTTAAAAGTGAAAGTGTTAGTCGTTCAGTTGTGTCCGACTCTTTGCGAGTCCCTGGACTATAGCCCACCAGTCTCCTTTGTCCATGGGATTCTCCAGGCAGGAATACCGAAGTAGGTAGCCATTTCCTCCTCCAGGGGATTTCCCAACCCAGGGATTGAACCTGAGTCCCCTGCATGGCAGGCAGATTCTTTATCTTCTGATCCACCAAGGAAGCCCCTCTTACCTCCAGCAAATATCACAGGTGATTTTTGATCTCTCAGTGACTGTCAAAGTCCACACCAAAGAATTCGGACACAGACTTCCCAGTGCAGGGGGCCCAGGTTCTATCCCTGGTCAGGGAACTAGATTCCTCATGCTGCAACTAAAGATCTTGTGTGCTGCAATGAAGTCCCAGCACAGCCAAATAAATCAAATAAATAAATATTAAAAAAAAAAGAATTTGGAGGAAATTAGGCACCAGGAGAAAGTAAAGTTTCCAACTTAAACTTGGACTTTTCCCCCTTTGAAAGAAGAGGAAATGCCTCACCCAACTGGTTAATAAAATTAGAATTCCAGATCTTTCCAGGTGTGTTGATAGATCCCTTTAGAGGAAACTGCTCCCCTGAAGCCAACAGTGCTCAGAAATTACAACCGGTTTCAGCAATTAAGAGAAGTAAAACATTAAAAAGCATGAGGCAAAGTACATTTGCATGCTAATGGCCCCTTCTGTAGGGCTGGGAAGCTGTGTTTTACAACAAAGCAGATAACTTTCCCACTAGAGCGACATTAACCCCTGGGTTCTCACTCCAGCCTCTTGGACCCACTCTTAACGTCTGGGATTCTTCTGGCCCCAGTTGGGTGAGATATGGGTTAACCCTGCGTATCAATCCATCCGCTATGGCCTAATTCTCTCTGGCTTGGGTAGGAGAAGAAAGAGAAAGAGAATTAGAAGTTCTGAATGTGTTTGGGAGGAGAGAGAGGAAGATAGCAAGATGCACCAGGGGTGGGAAAAAACGCTTCCATAGAAACACACTGGAACGGCCAGGTGCAGGCGGGATGTGAACTTAAGTCCAGCTTCCTTCCCCCTGGCGATGTGACATCAGACACCACGGTACTTAAATTCTCAGGGACTCAGTTTGTTCATGGAGTGGGGTGGAATGAGGATTCGACAAGGTAACGAAGGTAACTCTCTGCCCCTGGAGACTATAGTGGTTGCGGTAACGGGCTGGCAGGTGGCATTTGTGGTGTTTCAGGAGGAACGTTACAAAGACCTTTTGGGTACAACCCTGTGAAAAAGCGCTGTGACTTTATTGAAGATGAAAAGCAGTCCTTGCTGCTTTATACAGAGTGTTAACCTTGGAATAAGGACAGATTATGTATAAAGACTCCTTCTCTTTCTTTCCAAGGTGGAAACCACCAATGTCTCTGATTCCATCAAAGATGGCAGCCCTCTAGACTATACCATCGGCCTCCAGAAATCAAAGGAATCAGGACGGTGAAGTTCAAGGACGTGTGCTCACCTTCTCCTGCCAGAACACCAAAATCGCAACTAACTGCTGAACAACTACCGCCAGGAGGGTGTTGGAACACACCAAGAAAAGATACCCCACATCCAAGGAGAAAGGAAAAGCCGTAGCGAGATGGTGGGGGGGGGGGGCGGTGCGATCACATTAAAATCAAACCCCGTACCCACCAGAGACTCTCGGAGGGCACAAACGAAACCTTGTGTGCACCAGGACCAAGGAAAGGATCAGTGACCACCCGCCCCCCAAAAGAGGCTGAGTCAGACCTGCCTGTGAGTGTTTGACGCTCTCCTGAGGAGGCGTGGGTCAGCAATGGCCTGCCGTGGGGACAGGGGCATTGGCGGCAGCAACTCCTGTTAGAAGAAGACTTTATGGCTCATAGGGCCTTCGTTTGGGAGCTGGATGGATCTGGATTTGAGATCCACTTGCTTTGAAACTGCCTGGCTGTGTTCCTTTGAATAAACTTCTTAACTTCTCGGTGCCCCAGTTCCCATTGTAATGAGGGTGATAAAAATCTCACGCATTCTATGTGGAGGTCCCGCCAGTCAGCACTCACTGTGCCCATTATTAAGGGCTAGTTCTTGCTTCTCTTTTAAAAATACATCTTCCCCCTTGCCTTTCCCCATGATACAATGAGGAGGCAATGCCCAAAGGGTGTCCTGCCTTAGAGTCCAAGCTAATTCATTGAAATCAAGCTTAAAAAAAAAAAGAGGAAAGAGCAGTTTCTGTTCACCCACCAGCATCCTCGTCACTCCCCGCAGTCACTCCCACTGCTGATGGGAAAGAGAGGCCGCCGGAAGGAAGCGAAAGCTCATCAAGGGCTGGAAAATATTAATCTGGGAGCTCACGGATGGGTAGCGATGCGCGGCTCCGACAGCGGGCGCCGCCTTCATGTTCAGGCTGCCTGTGGGCTGAGCCGGCCCACCGCCCCGCCCTGGCGCTGGGGGCACTCAGCGTGATACGCCAGGCATCCCCGGTTCGACATCCACGTCCAGACTGATCTCCAAGACGGGGCTGGGGAGGCGGGTCGAGAGACAGAGCGTGGACTAGAGGACAAGAGAGCTCTGACTCCACCAACAACCCTCTGAAAAGGCTGCATTTTCACTCCTACAAGGACGGTTTTCAACCATGACTTTAGATTAAAATCACAGAGGAAGCTTTAAAAAATAATGCTGAGACACTACCCCCATTGGTTACAATTCAGTTTTTCTAGGAGTGAACCTTGAATGGGGATATTCTTTAAACTTTCTAATAAGACTAAATTTATTCAATATCCTAGTAAAAGTTTTGATTATAAGTATCCAATAGTATGTAAAAAGCACAAAACAGATTTGTAGATTTCTGATATATTGCAAAGTGTATGACTAAATACAGTACATCTTACAGGCAAAGAGAAGTGGAAGGGAAAAAGAAGGCTGTGGTTGAGGTCTTCAGCTCAGTTCAGTTCAGTCGCTCAGTCACGTCCGACTCTTTGCGACCCCATGAATCGCAGCACGCCAGGCCTCCCTGTCCATCACCAACTCCCTGAGTTTACTCAAACTCATGTCCATTGAGTCGGTGATGCCATCCAGCCATCTCATCCTCTGCCATCCCCTTCTCCTCCTGCCCCCAATCTTTCCCAGAATCAGGGTCTTTTCCAATGAGTCAACTCTTTGCACGAGGTGGCCAAAGTATTGGAGTTTCAGCTTCAGCATCAGTCCTTCCAGTGAACACCCAGGACTGATCTCCTTTAGGATGGACCGGTTGGGTCTGGCAATAAATTAATCAATACAGAGGTAGAGGTGATCCGTATCATAGTATATTCTACCATCAATACTGCATCCAGAATGCTCACACGAAAAAGACCATTTCACGATAAGTCAGTGGGATGACGGTAGTGGCTCAGGTTCTTGTGACATACCACAAAGCCTTCGGGAGAGCTGACCTGACTCATTGTAGTTCTTCTCAAAGGAAAAAATGCAAAAATTTAGGTGAACAACTATAGAACTATGCTGCTTTAGTTGCTCAGTCGTGTCCGACTCTTTGCGACCCCACGGACTGTAGCCCGCCAGGCTTCTCTGTCCATGGAATTCTCCAGGCAAGAACACTGGAGTGGGTTGCCATTTCCTTTTCCAGAGGAGCTTCCCAACCCAGGAATCGAACCCTGGCCTCCTGCCTCACAGACAGATTCTTTACTGTGTGAGCCACAGGAAAGTCACAGCTATAGGGTGCCCATAAGCAGTGGCTCACTTTTATTAAACAACTCTTCAGTGATTCTGAGATGTAGCCAGGCTTGAGAACCATCATCCTGCTTGGAAAATCCACAGAAGCACTCCCACCATCCTCTTTCTTTCCAGGATGGGTTTGATCTGCGGCAGCGCTGCTCGCTGTTGGCTGGTGGTAGGATTACCTGGAGGTCTTTTTAAAAATGAGGACGTCTGATGGGTGTACTCCTATGTTCATTGCAGCACTGTCTACAATAACCGAGACGTGGAAGCAACCTAAATGTCCATTAAGAGAGGAATGGATAAAGAGAACTGCGGTACCTGTATAAATGGGATATTTGTTGTTGTTTAGTTACGAACTCATGTCTGACTCTTACAACACCATGGACTATATAGCATGCCAGGCTCCTTTGTCCATGGGATTTCCCGGGCAGGAATACTTGAGTGGGTTGGCATTTCCTTCTCCAGGGGACTTTCCAGACCCAGAAATCGAACCCGCATCTCCTACATTGGCAGGAGGATTCTTTACTACTGAGCTACCAGGGAAGCCCCACAATGGAATATTATTTAGCCATAAAAAAGAATGAATTAATTCCATTTGCAACAACATAGATGAGCCTAGAGATTGTCATACTGAGTGAAATGAGTCAGACAGAGAAAGACAAATATTATATGATATCACTTATATGTGGAATCTTAAACAATGGTACAAACGAAGTTATTTACAAAACAGGAATAGAGTCACAAATGTAAAAAGCAAACTTATTGTCATGGGGGGGAAAGGGGGAGGGATAAATTGGGAGTTAGAGACTGACATATACACACTGCTATATGTAAAATAGATAACTAATAAGGAGCTACTATATAACAAAGGGAATTCTGCCCAGTACTGAGTAACTACCTATATGGCAATAGAAACTAAAGAAGAGTGGGTGTATGTGTAACTGATTCATTTTGCCATACAACAGAAACTAACAAACCGGTGTAAATCAGCTGTACTCCAATAAAATTTTCAATTAAAAATAAACACAAATAAAAATGAGAATGCCTGGAACTCACTCTCAGAATTCCTGATTTAATTGGCTTAAAGTGGGGATGCAAGATCAAAGGTGCTGCCACAAACTTATAATCCCATATATAATAGAATCATTCTCTGCAGAGGAATTTGTGATAACAAAGGCTGGAGACAATGTAAAAGTTGTCTATGAGAGTCATTAAGTAAACTCTCGTCCAACCTCAACCTAGAACGTTATACATCTGTTCAAAAAGAGTGAGAACCGTCTCTCTGCACTGATATGTAAAGACCATTAGAATATCTAGAAAAGAAAAAAAAATCAACAGTCAGAACAGTGTTGATAGGATACTATTCTTTGTGTAAGAAGAGGGGAAGAAAATTAAAAATATACTTTTAAACTGCTTATAGTTGCATAAAGAAACTCTGGGAAAGTGTACAAGAAAATAGTAATTTTAAAAATGTTTGGTTATGCTACACAGCATGTGGGATCTTAGTTCCCAGCCCAGGAATCGAACCCATGGCCCTTGCATTGCCAGCAGGGAATCTTAGCCCCTGGACCTCCAGGGAAATCCAATACAAGAAAATAATAAAAGTGATGACTCTGGGGACAGTGGGTGACAGAATGTTTGGGATATGGATGGGGTAACAAGTTTTTGGAGTGTCTTGATATGTAAATGACCTCTTTTCAACAATAAAGTTCTTTAAAACATCCTCAAGTGATTCTGAGTCATCAGGTTTGAAGACATTTGTCTAGAGCAGAAGTCAGCAAACTGTCGCCCATGGACCAAACCCAGCCTGCTTCCTTAATTTAAAAAAAAAATTTATTTTAAAACAATTGTAAATTTTCAAAGTTATTGAGGCCACAGCTCAGAAATTCCCCAAATATCCTAAGCCCGGTTTCCCCTAATTTTTTTCTTTTAAACTTTTAGTTTGTATTGGGGTATAGCTGATTAACAATGTGGTGATAGTTTCAGGTAGACACCATAAGGACTCAGCATACGGTTTCCCCTATCGTTAACATCTTTCGTTAGTGTGGCCCATTTGTCACAACTAATGAGCAAGTATTGACAAATTCTTATTAATTGAATTATTGATAAATTATTAATTAAAGGCTAGACTTCGTATTTCCTCAGTTTTGCTCTAATTCCTCTTTCTGTTTCAGTATCCTACCCAGGATCTCACGTTACCTTTAGTCATCACGTTTCCTTAGACCCCTTTTGGCTAGGATAATTCCTCAGGCTGACATTTTGCATTTTTGATGACCTAGACCATTTTGATGGCACCACCAACTTAATGGACATAAGTTTGAGCAAAGTCCGGGAGACAGTGAAGGGAAGCCCGGCACGCTGCAGTCCACGGGGTCGCCAAGAGTAGGACACGAATGAAGCCACTGAGCACCCACGTGTCCAGTGAAGTGAGATGTCGCCAGCTCCAAGGACCAGCGCTGACTCAGCCCTTCGAGTCTGGCACATCTGCAGACTGCAGCTGCGCCCGCCTCTCTGGCGTGTTTTCTCCAGCGTGGACAGCACGTAGGCTCCACAGAAGCCTTCCCAACACAGCCACGGGCCTCTCAGCTCAAGGCCAGTGGATCGGGTTGAATTCTAAAGGTCTGTGACCCCAACCCATTCCCTCATGACCCCTCTCAAACCAGCCACCCATTCCCAGCTCTACACTGTCTTACCACTCCTTGTGACCTTCCAGTGTCTTCCAAAGAGAGACCTACTTTCAGCGATTAAGCAAGAGAGAGGGAGATGGAAATGGGGGGTCGGCTCCCTGAAAGAATAAATGGCAACTCCTGCATTGCTTTCCTTCAGCAGCAGCTAAGCACACACCCACCAATGTCTCTGATCCTTCCTGAAGTGCAGGCTGCGGTGCCCAGAGGCCCAGGGGGTTAACTGTCCTGCGGATGAGCAGGGATTATGATCCAACCCCCGGGATACTAAGGCTGACGTCCGATCACCCACCCATGGGCTCATCCTGTAATTCAAAGGACTGACATGCTTGACAAATAAGAGCCCAGGGCCCAGAGCCAGACCAGCAGAGACTCTGAAATGCACCCTACCGGTGCTGCGCTCCCTGTGGGCAGAGGATTCTTGTCTTCTGTTCTCCACCATCTCTACACCGTCTGAACCTTGGATGCCCGGCCACTGTTCCATGCTGCACGAAGAACTTGGACCAGCCTGGTTGCAACAGAGAATTGGGGTGCAGGAGGGGCCTAGGGACGAGTGAAGCTGAGTAGCCGTGGAGCTCAGAACATCACTCCGTCGGGACCGGAGAGGACCAGCCTGCAGGTGCATTAAAGATGGTCAAGCTTAGACGATCTGCGCAGGGAGGAAGGGTCTTGAGCCATTTCAGAGCAGGCGTTTCATTCTCCAACTCAAGACTGGAATCTCTAAGCATCAACTTGTGAAACACTCAGACGTGACAGATCCAGATTCCTGCTCTAGGAAATCTGACAGAGGAAGCGTTATGATTATTTCTGTTGCTGCCGGGGGTGTTAGGACTTCTACCACTACTGCTGCTATTTCCTTCTCTGACTTGCTTTTCCCTTTGGCGTCAATTTTTCCTTGGAAAGCTGCTCAGGAGATCATAAAGAAAGAGCTACCAGCATTCTCTCCCTACCCCCCTGAACGGGTTTAAAGAAATATGTAAGAATCTATAGAGAGAGACAGATCGCAGCCCCAAGATTGGACCAAGCTACTGCAGCTGCAAAGTTATAAGCCCATAAATAAAGTTTATGGTTAAACTGGCCTGACCTGGCTTTGCCCCTAGGTACAGAAGCAGTATCTTGTCATTAGTATGCAGGACACAGCAGCCTAAAGTCTGC